CAACATTTTACTGACCACATCAACTCTGTGGATAAATACATCAAGTTCACACGAGAAGATGAAAAAAATGGCAAGTTGGCTTTCTTGGACTGTGAGGTCTCAGTCTCTGATAGAGGACATTTGCAAACTGAGGTGTACCACAAACCCACCCACACAGACCAGTATTTGCAGTTTGACTCCCATCACCCTTTGGAGCACAAGTTAGGAGTCATCAGGACTCTGTATCACAGAGCAGACAGCGTCCCCACTAACTCAGGAGCCAGGCAGAAGGAGAAATCCCACACAAAACAGGCTCTAGAGCAATGTGGATATCCTAACTGGGCCTTCCTGAAAGCAGAGAAGAAACCCAAACAGGACTCCAGTCAGCCAACAGGTGAAAAGGAGGAACCCAGACCCAGACCAGTGGTCATTCCATATGTTGAGGGAGTATCAGAGAAACTGAGACGTTTATTTTCTAAACATAACGTCCCAGTGGCTTTTAAACCACAAAATACATTACGGCAAAGACTGGTTCATCCCAAAGATCCAGTCCCCCGGCACAAACAGAGTAATGTTGTGTATGCTGTTCAGTGTCAGGAGGGCTGTGATCAGTCTTACATCGGGGAAACAAAACAGCCACTGGCCAAAAGGATGGCCCAGCACAGAAGATCAACATCATCAGGCCAGGACTCTGCGGTCTACACTCATCTCCAGGCCAGCGGTCACTCTTTCAGGGATGAAGATGTTCACATCCTGGACAGAGATGAACGATGGTTTGAGAGAGGAGTAAAGGAGGCCATCTTTGTGAAAAGAAACTGTCCATCATTAAACAGGGGTGGAGGCCTCCGGGTTCAACTGTCCCCCTCTTATAATGCTGTGATTGCTAGTATCACTCAGCCCTCTGTGAGTAGTAAACAGCCATCAGTGTGCTAATGATCCATTGTTATGCTGATGGTCCTTCTTGAGCATGTGATCAGCTGGTTTTGGTTGTCAGCAGCAAAACTGGTTGATCCACTCTGAGAAGGTGCTATTTAAGAGACTGAGCTGAATACAGCTCCTCAGACTGAGGAAGTCTCTCGGATGAGAGACGAAACGTTTCTACATTTTTTTGTTGTTTTGCTTTGTTTTGTTTTTTTGAATGTCCAGAGGACCAGATTTAACTTTTTTAAAGTAAACAACTTAGTAAAGTAAAGCTTATGGATCACTGTAATAATAAATAAAACTAACTAGGACCAAAAATGTGGACCTGCTTTGGATATTTTGTGTCTTTTAGGTTTATTTTATTGGTAAAACAAAATCACTGCTTTACAATACTTTAATTAGGCCAGAAGTTCTCAAACATTTTGGCTTCTGACCCACAAAATGATTGTTTTTCAGAAGTGACCACATCCATTACAGTTTAAAAATACAGACTTTGGTAGAAACTATAGCAAGACTGTCCACACCATGTTTATTCATTTAGGACTACTGTTTTTACTCCTTGTGACAATTATTGTGAACATTTGCAATACACAGTCATTTCTGAATGCTGGGTGGATAATGAGATTATTAAAGAATCCCAACTTGATGTTTCATGACCCACAGTGAGATCCTGACCCCCACTTTGAAAAACATTTCAGTAGATTTGAACACACCTATTAGCAAAAAGATCTAGAGGGTACATTTGAAACTTTAGAGCAAGCAGCAGTTTGGCTATGTTACCTACACGTTTATTTTTTACAGAAGACTTGTTTGTGTTTTCTTGTGGTTTGTCCAAAATGTCCTTTAAATGTCAGCAGAAGAAAAACGGTCTGTGTAAAACTAGGACATTCTTGGTCAAGCAGAGTCCAACCAGGTATCCAGGTCTTAAATAACTTCTGGCTTTGCTTCGCAAATTTTCTCTGTCAAGAACTAGGTACACATAAATATCAGGAAATCTATTTTTGATTTATTTTCTATAGGTCACAAGGATTTCTGAGACCAAAGCTTATATTTTGTGGTAATATTCACCTATTCTTCCAACTTTACAAGCAGGACTGGAAATACATTGGTTGGAAGTAATATATAAATATAAATATTTTGCTTAAAAACTACTAAGTAGTCATACTAGGGTAAATATGGTGGGGGGAGGGGTGCAGATAATCAGAATACATCTATAATTGTTTTATCATTGCTTTATGGTCCTCTGAATTGTAATTTATTGAATCATGACGGCAGCACGGTGGCGCAACTGGTAGAGCTGCTGCCTCTCAGCGAGCAGGTTCCTGGTTCAAACCCCGGTCCAGGGGTCTTTCTGGGTGGAGTTTGCATGTTCTCTCCGTGCATGCGTGGGTTTTCTCCGGGTGCTCCGGTTTCCTCCCAAAGACCAAAAACATGCATGTTAGACTGATTGGTAACTCTAAATTGTCCCTAGGTGTGAGTGAGAAAGTGAATGGTTGTTTGTCTCGTTTGTCTCTATGTGTCCCTGTGATGGACTTGCGACCCGTCCAGGGTGTACCCCGCCCCTCGCACAGTGATTGCTGGACATGGGCACCAGTGACCCCCCGTGACCCAAAATGGAATAAGCGGGTAAAGATAATGGATGGATGGATGGATTGAATCATAACGTGCCTAAATATCCCCACTCCTTGTTTACATGCAATGATTTACACATTTACACCACAGCACGTGGATATTTTAGTAGAATATAGTTCTGGAACATGTTTAATATATGTAACAACACCAATGCATTAACCTTCAAACAGTGATCAAATGTTTTTCTTTTACAGATGCCATGGCAAATCCTTCTCCAGCAAAGAGTTTGGGTGATCCAGGAATCACTCCTTTGTCTCCCTCACACATCCAGGTAAATCTTCTACATATATATATATATATATATATATATATATATATATATATATAT